GAGACTACATATGTAAGTTTCATAACTACTATAACTTGAAATTAATGTTTATAATATTATATAATTCATAATATTCTATCTTCTAAATAAAGGGTCGTTACAAGACTATTGTGGAGGAGTACAGTCAGAGCTTTCCACCGAATGAGCAACGTGAGCAACATTCCATTTCAGAAGAAAAATCACAGAAGATATGGTTGGATGTTGTCGGTGGTCCTAAAAAGGGATAAAATACGGCCTTCTAGAGAGATCATTTCGGCGCTACAAGGCTGGATTGCAAGGTATAAGGACTTCCTCCTGGGGCGAGGCATTTGATAGGTCGATTCTCTCGGCTGTGGAGAAGAAGATCTCAAAGCTGTCAGCAGAGCTTCAAGAGGCAAAGGCTAGAAAAGAAAAGAGAGATAAACAATTAGATAGCCTTCAAGGTCAGCTAGAAAAGAGGGACCAACAATTTAATATCCTTCAAGGTTAGCTAGCCAGTCTTCTTGCTAGTGGTGCTTTCCCCATCCTCCGGTCTCGTGAGTCTTCCCCAGATGCTAATCCTTCTCGTCGTGATCCTTCGAACCATGGCGATGATGAAGCTTCTAGTAGTTAAGGTGGAGATGATGCAGTATAAAACACTCCTTGAATGGCGTGTATTGCTAAACAAAGTCTTGAACTTTTAAATATTTAGTTGGAATAGTTTTGAATAATAATTGTATTGTTGATATTATTTTGTTATTGAACATTTGTATTGTTGTTGTTGTGGTTGTCATTATTGTTGTGGTTGTTATTAGCGTTGTTGTTATGGTAGGCATTGGTTAATTGTTGTTGTTGTTGGTTAATTGATTATTGTTGGTTAATTGTGGTTGAATGGCAGCAAGGTAATGCTACCGTTATATGATGGTTATTGGTTATAACTAGCAGATGGTGTAGCTTAAAAGCAGCCATATTCTGCCAGGTTTTTCCTGAGAAAACTGACCGACTTCCGACCGATTTTGATCGGTTATTTCAATGTGCAATCTGCAGAAAATTGAAACTACTGACCAAAAATAACCTATTTATTTATTTATTTTTTAATGATTCCGACCAATTTCGGTCTGGTCAAACTTTAGTTGAATTAACCGATCGGCTTCGGTCGAAAATTGCGACCGTCTTCGGTTGCCACACGTTAGCGACCACTGTTTTTTCAACGAATTAAAATCGGTCGGTTTTCCTATATTTCCGATCGATTCCGGTCAATTTTCTTGGATATTTTTTGACAGTTTTCTAGTGGTGAGTTTCGATACTAATTAAATCCAGAGCCAAACCACTAGTTATCTTAGAAAATTAAGAAATAAAATTCTATCAAAGAAGTGAAGGACCTAGTTGTAGAGCAATGATCAGTGTTAGGACAAACAACCCAAACACATTTATATATGCAGCAAGAAGAAAAAAGTAGAACTCAGCTTCAAAACGTATACTCCAAAGTCGAGCAGCAACCAAAAAAGACAAAGGAAAGAAAAAGGCAAAAAAGCAGCCAAGTATGTGGAAATGGTAGCTTGGTAAACCGGTCACAGTCAGCCTCTTAGCATACTAGGTTTTCCTTAAAGTTAAATAAGAAGAAACAAATAGTAAATGAAAAGAAGAGAAAAAGAAGAAAAAAAATATTCATCTGTACTGTCATGATACTATTTCGTTAAATACTATGCTGATAATTAAGATGCATTATACTATATTATCTTTCACGCAAAATTGAGACAAGGCGGCTCCCACCTCTCTCTAAACAATCAGCCATGGCTTCTTTCCATCATCGAAATCTCATATTTGAAACTCTTGATAGTTCCACCGACAAAAGTTGTAGCAGCTATTACTGCAACTCAAAGGAGTATTATTCTGCAGGTTGTCCACTGTCATGTTTTGCTATTTGCCCCAGCATTTGTCTGCTTTCAGAAATCCAGCCGCCGACACCACCACCAAGTTTCTCCACCGAAGTTCCTCCACAAAAGCCAACCATTTCCATCTTCTTGATCATTTTAGTTTCAGTCGTAGCTACCGCTATCATCATATTTTGTGGCTTCGTCGTTTACAGATTCGGTAACTTAAGAACTCCTTCACAACCGCAGCAGCTAACAGTAGTAATAGCAGAAGAAGAAGAGGCCAGTGATATTAGAACAGTGGGTCTTCAGCCATCAGTTGTTAGTGCTATCACGATTTGCAAGTATAAAAGAGGTGAAGGACTAATTGAAGGAACAGAGTGCTCTGTTTGCTTGACTGAGTTTCAAGACGATGAAAGTCTTAGGATTTTGCCTAAGTGCAGCCATACTTTTCACATACTTTGTATTGACACTTGGCTTAGATCACACACCAATTGCCCCATGTGCCGTACCGGCATTGTCCTTGAACAGGTATTGTTTAACTGTATGAGTGTTAGACCATCTTATATAAAAGTTTATAGTGTTGGTGAAAACACGCTTTTTGTACGTTGGTTTCATTCTTTATCATGAGCTCATTATGTGATTTTCATACGGTGAGACTTGAACTCAAGATCTCTCCCGCTCTTATAACATGTTAAACCGCGTGACATCTAATCTAAAAAGTGAAGTTGTAGAGGAATTAAACACACTATTATTCATTTAATTATGTTTGTAGTGCAGAATTTAGGGTTGAGACATGAAGGAGAAACTCGTCCGGGAATTTCAGGAAATGCCACGGATTAAGGATTGACATTCAGTATGAAGGCGGATGAGGGGATCTAATTAAGTACTAAGGACAAAAGTGAAAATGCCAAGCAAGATGTAGTGAATGGTTCTGGAGGGGAGTTAAATGAGGTTCATGCCTTAACAAGTTCAGCTACTTTGGAATCTTTATCTACTACTTCAATGAGTCGTGCTTCTGCCTGCAAATTCTTTAGGGAGAACATCCGCTGATGAAAATTTGGGTGAGGAATCAATTGAAGTAAACGAATCAAAGATGGGTTTCGTTCTGTATCAAAAGAGTTTTTGTTTGTGAAGCAAATTAGGGGAAGTCTTTCTTTGAAAGAATAATGCATTAAGAGGCAAAGAGGTCTGTTTCTCGCAGTACAAATGTATAAACATCACTCATCGATTTCAAGTAAACTAGTTTCGGAAACTTATAGATCTCCCCTAACGGAACTAGAGAATTGGTCAAATTGTGACGGTTTTTGACCCCTAAAAAAAATTGTGGCAATATCTAGAAGTGTCATAGTTTATCTTTGCCATGAGCATTATTGTGACTATTTTTTAAAACCTCCACGGCAATCGCCACAAAATAAATTTTGAATTTGTGGGAGTTTTTGAAGATAATTAGAGGGTGTTTGGCTAAGCTTATAAGCTGGTTAAACTGGCTTATAGGCACTTTTTGGCTTATCTACGCGTTTGATAAAATTAAAAGTGCTTATAAGTCAAAAATAAGACAAAAGACATAAGTTGGTCTCCCATAACTTATTAAATTTCAGCTTATAAGCACTTTAGGTTTAACCAAAATATTTACTATTTTATCCCTAAAATACTTTTTTTTTAAATAAAACTCTTCGTATACCCAATTCTTTAGCTGCTTATTATTAATTTCAGCACTTTTATCCAAATACGTAACTGTTTATTTTTTAAATCAGCTTCAGCACTTACAAGTGTTTTTCAGCACGTAATGTTTATCAGCTAAGCCAACCGGACTGCATTTTAGAATCCCACGACCTGAATTATTGATGGTTGAGAATCCTCGCGAAAAAGAATGAATTTCTTGTTTTCACTATGTAAATATCCTCTTAGAAGATGTAGAGTGTATTTAGGATCAAACCACGGTAGATATATGCTTAAAAAAAGACAAGCAAGAGGGGGAGAAAGGAAACACATGTATTACCCCAAAATAAAGCAACCCAATGAATGAATGATGAAGATTTACAAGCGCCCCTTTCTGTTGGCCAACTCTCTCTTCCTTGAGGATATACAAAATTCTAAGCAATTTCTAGCAAGTAATAATACGTAAATCCTACATTCTAAAATGCAAGTAAGAATGCATAAGTCAAATATTCGTTGGGAAATTTTAAGAAAAAGCAATATATAACGTGATATATTGACAGTAGTATCTTGTTCCCAAAATAAAAATAGATTACACGAAACGCATGTTGGCATTTACAAGAAACGCCTACTTTTCCAATAGTATCTTGTGCCCAAAATAAAAATAGATTAATTCAGTTTGCTCCTATATTCCTTTTTTCTTAACATAGTCTGCTACGGAGCATGAAATGTTTAACTGATCAATAGTGATACGAGACTACAGTTTATACAAATATAATATTATTAATTTATGCAGGTATTCTTTACTCATTGTAATAGTAAAAAGTCATAAAATTACTTTCTGTCTTATTAAAGTTAAAAAATTTTGGTGCTAGGTAATTATTATTTATTTCATTCAATTAACTAAACTATGTGTAACTTGCTTAGAAAATTCAAATAGTAGGAAGGTCAAATTTTTAGAGTCAGATAATAATTTTTTGTTTTCCTTTTTTTTTTCATTTTAATGCTTTCTAATTAGTTAAAAAAATTCATGGCGGAATTTTTTAATCACTGTCATTTATTTTTTTCTTCTAATAAGAATTACTGATAGTGAATACTCCCTCCGTTTCATATTAAATGAGGTAGTTTGACTCGGCACGGAGTTTAAGAAAAAAGAAGAAGACTTTTGAAACTTGTAGTCTTAAAAGCTTAAGAGTAAAAGAATTGTGGGGCCATGACATTTGTGTGGCTATAAAAGCTTCTCATTAAGGGTAAATGGGTAAAATAAAAGAATTTAAAATTAATTTTTTTTCAAATTTAGAAATGTATCATTTGTTTTGGAATAGACATACCACAATTAATACGAAACGGAGGAGTATAAGTTAATAACGCTGTACGTAAAATCACGATAATATAATATCCTGAGCAGTTGACTATTTGCCTTGCCATCATGAGGTCTTCATTAAAGCAATAATTGTCCAATTTGCCATGATCCACTTTAGGTTTGGTAGGACAAGCAGGAAAATATAATAGCAACTGTAAATCGCTCCTAACAATCAGCAGCCGCCTAGTATACTAGGCTACCTAATAGTCAAATAAGAACAAACACAGAAATGCAAAAACAGAAGAAAAAAAAGAAGGAAAGACAAAACAAATAGGAACTCATCATGTTACAATTTCGTTAGAAACTAGGCTGCTCCATACAATTTCGTAAGATGCTCTATTTTCTCTTTCACCCAAAATTAAAACAAGGCTGCAGCTAACTATACATTTCTTCACATCTCTTGTTAAACAATTAGCTGCGGCCATGGCTTTCCATCATCGAAAGCTAATCTTTGAATCTCTTGACTTGAATTCCACAGGCAAAACTTGTAGCAGCTATTATTGCAACCCAAAACAGAATCCTTCTGAAATTTGTCCACTTTCATGTCTATACATTTGCTACCCAAATTGTTCTTTTCCTCTGTTTTCAGAAATCCAACCACCACTACCACCTAATTTTTTCACACCAAAAATTCTTCTTCCTCCGTCTCCACATAAAACCACTATTTCCATCTTCTTGATCATTCTCATTTCGTTTTTAGCCACTTCTTTCTTCGTATTTTGTTGCTTTATTGTTTACAGATTCCGCAACTCAAGAATTTTGTCACAAAGGCAGCAGCAGGAGGAAGAAGAAGAGGAGTTTAGTGATATTGTTGATGAAGATTTTCATGGACCTATGGTGGATCATCCTATATGGTATATTAGAACAGTGGGTCTTCAGCCATCAGTTATTAGCGCTATCACGATTTGCAAGTATAAAAGAGGTGAAGGACTAGTTGAAGGAACAGATTGTTCTGTTTGCTTGAGTGAATTTCAAGAAGATGAAACTCTTAGAATTTTGCCCAAGTGTAACCATGCTTTTCATATACCTTGTATTGACACTTGGCTTAGATCTCACACCAATTGTCCTATGTGCCGCGCCGGCATTGTCATCGCCACAACCGCGCCATCACCGTCGTCTGAACAGGTATGCATGAAGTGTATGAATATTCCATCAAACAGCTTAAGTTGTTTGGCATAACATACTATTTATTTATTTAATTATGTCTTTAACACAAACTTTATATATAGCTTGATTTTTTTTACGGGTTAAGTACATGAAAATTATTGTTGATAATGGACGGAAGTAAGACTAAAACTAAAAATCTCAATCTATTCAAATACCATTTTGAAGTGTGTGATCGCTCCTCTATACATTTAACATGTTACAATATATATACTCTTATTTACTTAATTATGTCTATATTCAGAACGTAGGGCTGAGACATGACGAAGAAACTCGTTCAGAGAATGCGGCAGAATTAAGGATTGAGATTGAAAATGAAGATGATTCAGCGGATATAAGTAGTATGGATGTTAGTGGAAATTCCAAGGAAGATGTGGGGAATGGTAATGAAGGAGAGTTAGGTGAATTCTGTGAATCAAGAATACCAGCTTCTTCGGAATCTTTATCTACAGCTTTTATGACACGTATTGCTTATACTGATGCAAATTCTTCAAGAGAACAATCCACTGATCAAAATTCACTTGAGGTAAATGACTCAGAGATGGGTACATCTGTGTCACAGAGTAGTTTTGATGGTAATCAGAGCTCAGCAGAAAAGAGAACTTTTTGTGTGGACAGAGAAATGGAGAAAGAGCAAATGAGATCTCTTTCTTTCAGTACACAGTTAGTGATCAAAAGAAGCCAGAGTGCAGCTCTTCTAAGGTGAAGTTAATTCCATTGTTTTCTTAGAGAATTTTCCAAGTGAAACATATGAAAATTCTAGGTGTCTCAAAAACTCTTATAAAGATGAGAGGTTGCCCTTTCCTTTCCCCCAGACACCCTACTCCCATAGAAAAGCAAAATTAATACTACTACTTCCAAAAGGAAAAACATAAAAGCAAATAAGAAAAAAGAATTTCACCCATTGCTTTAATAATGTCTCGGATACTTTATCAATGTTTGCCGTGTAATAGTATAAGAAGTTTGAGGCTGATGTAAAAGTGGAGATCAGCCAGAGAGAAAAGAATCTCTCTTATATGTATTGTCAATGCCAAAGGCTTTTGGCAAAAGTTATCAATAATATTTCTTTTTTGTTTGTAAAGTATATATAATTGTTTCTTTTCTTTTTTGTTTTTTGTGTCCTGGTTTAAGTTCATAGCCATCTTGCTAGTGTGTTCATGCCTCAAATTTACGACAATTGTCTATAAATTTCGAGGCATGGCTTCCTTTTCAGACACTGAAAAAAATATAGTACTTCTTTCTGAAAATCCTGCATTCTACTTCGCAGTTTCTCTTTCAAATTCGTAAGTGTGATTTTGCTCCGTTCTTTGAGTTCGTTGGTATCCTGCAGTTTTTATTGCCACTGTTGCAGAAAGGTTTATTATGTTTCATCCTGAGAGGATTTAATCCATTATCTTGGCAACTTGTGAGAGGGTTAAAATTCCTTAAGGACGCACAAGGAAATTGTGGACTCGGAGTATTTCCTATCGTTTATAGCTTTTCAGTTTCTTCTAATAGTTTTCTAATTTCTGTTTTAACACAATAGCGACCACAAGCTTAAGGAATTTTAAATTAACGTTTTTGTGTTGAAATCTATATTGAACTGTTACCTATATTTTGTATACTGGTTTGGAGACTAAAGCCTTGGTGCTTTCTACTCCGATATATTTTTTACTCCGGTTTAAAGAACATAAAAACTTTACCGGGGTATTAAATTTGAATACGGTTTGAAGAATATAATAAACTTTACCGTTTATTTTTGAATGTTTGGTTTGGTATTCAGTTTGAAGATATAAAACCTTCACTAATTTGAAAAGTTCTGTTTGTTGCCAACTTTACAGAAAAATGGCAAATGAGGACCAAACTAATGCTAATGGAACGGGTGCTACTGTTACGAGTGTTGCTGCCTCGTCGAGCTGTTCAACTCCTGCTCATGCTATGGCAGCAGCAGAAAAACCCGGAAAGTTTTCCGGTATTGACTTCAAACGTTGGCAAATGAAGATGCTCTTCTATCTTACTACGTTGAGTTTGCAGCGATTNGGTCGTGGCTGAAGGCACTCCGGATGACAAACGATTTGTTGTAACTGAAGCATGGAAACATTCTGATTTCTTATGCAAAAACTACATTTTGAGTTGTTTGGAAGATAGCTTGTACAATGTCTATAGTGTCATAGAAACTTCAAAAGCGTTATGGAATGTGCTTGAGAAGAAGTACAAGACTGAGGATGCCGGACTTAGCTGCAAGGTTTTTGGATTTCAAGATGGTTGACACTAGGTCGGTCATAACTCAAGTCCAAGAATTACAAGTCATTGTGCATGACCTCCTTGCTGAAGGTATGATCATAAATGAGGCCTTTCAAGTCGCCGCTTTCAGTGAGAAGTTACCTCCGTTGTGGAAGGACTTTAAGAACTATCTAAAACACAAGCGTAAGGAGATGACACTTGAAGATTTGATTGTTCGTTTGAGGATAGAAGAAGACAACAAAAATGCTGAAAAGAAGTCACGTGGGAACTCGACAATAATAAGGGCTAACACTATTGAGGAGGCGCCACAAAATAAGAAGAGAAAGAAGGCTTCTGGACCAAAGAATTACCCAAGCAAGAAAAAGTTCAAGGGTAATTGCCACAACTGTGGAAAGTCTGGGCATAAGGTCGTGGACTGTCGTGCACCAAAGAATGATGTACAAAAGAAGAAGAAGAAGAAGAAGAAGAAGAAGAAGAAGAAGAAGAAGAAGAAGAAGAAGAAGAAGAAGAAGAAGAAGAAGAAGAAGAAGAGAAGAATCAAGCTAACATGGTTGAAAATGTTGAAGAAATGGAGGACTTGTGTGCCATGATGTCTGAATGCAACTTGATAGGAAATCCTAAAGAATGGTGGATTGATTCTGGAGCCACCCGTCATGTTTGTGCTAACAAGGAGTTATTTTCTTCCTATACCCCCGCAGGACCCGACAAGACAATTTTCATGGGAAATTCATCTACAGCCACAATTTAAGGAATTGGCAAGATTGCGTTGAAGATGATGTCGGGAAAAATGGTGACTCTAAACCAAGTTCTCCATGTTCCAGAAATTCACAAGAATCTTGTGTCTACCTCACTTATTGTCAAGAATGGATTCAAATGTATTTTTATTTCTAATAGTGTAGTACTAAGTAAGAATGATGTGTATGTAGGAAAAGGTTACCTGAATGAGGGCCTTTTTAAGCTAAATGTAATAGCAGTTCCTATCAATAAAGTTAATGTTTCTTCTTGCTTACTTGAGTCTAACACTTTATGGCATGCACGCCTAGGTCACATCAACTTCAAAACATTGCGAAAAATGATAAATTTGGAAGTATTGCCAAAATTCGATTGTATTAATTCCAAATAGCAAATATGTGTGGAATCAAAGTATGTTAAGCATCCTTATAAGTCCGTTGAAAGGAATTCAAGTCCTTTAGACTTAATTCACACAGATATTTGCGACATGAAGTCAACACCATCTCGCGGTGGGAAAAAGTATTTTATTACTTTTATTGACNTTATAAGTCCGTTGAAAGGAATTCAAGTCCTTTAGACTTAATTCACACAGATATTTGCGACATGAAGTCAACACCATCTCGTGGTGGGAAAAAGTATTTTATTACTTTTATTAACGATAGTACGAGATATTGCTATGTTTATTTACTTAATAGTAAAGATGAAGCAATTGATGCTTTCAAGCAATACAAGAGTGAAGTTGAAACACAACTAAACAAAAAAATAAAAATGATAAGAAGTGATAGGGGTGGCGAATATGAATCTCCTTTTGAAGAAATATGTTTGGAAAATGACATTATTCACCAAATAACTGCCCCTTACTCTCCACAATCTAATGGAATTGCAGAGAGAAAGAATAGAACGTTGAAAGAGATGATGAATGCGTTATTGATAAGTTCTGGTTTACCACAGAACTTGTGGGGGAAAGCTATACTTACAGCTAACCGAATAATTAAACCGTGTACCTCATAGTAAAACACAGTCCATTCCTTATGAAAAATGGAAAGGAAGGAAGCCCAGCTTGAAATACTTCAAAGTGTGGGGGTGTTTAGCTAAGGTACAAGTTCCTAAACCTAAAAGGGTTAAGATAGGTCCAAAAACGGTTGATTGTGTATTTATTGGATATGTAACCAATAGCAAGGCATATCGTTTTATGGTTCATAAATCAGAAAATCCTGAGATCCACGTTAATACAATAATAGAATCAGATAATGCTGAATTCTTTGAAACTATTTATCCATATAAAAAGGAAAGCGAATTGTCCTACCAAAAGTCAAAACGACCTCGGGAGGAAACAACAGATGGTATGCCTAATGAGGAAAATCCGAGAAGAAGTAAACGTCAAAGAACATCTACTTCATTCGGTCCAAATTTTCTGACTTTCCTACTAGAAATGAGCCTCGAACCTTCAAGGAAGCAATGTCTTCCTCAGAAGCACAATATTGGAAAGAGGTTGTCAATAGTGAAATAGAATCTATATTGAGCAACCACACCTGGGAATTGGTTGATCTTCCTCCAGGTAATAAAACTTTGGGTTCTAAATGGATTTTCAAGAAGAAAATGAAAGACGATGGTCTTATTGACAAATACAAGGCAAGACTTGTTGTCAAAGGATTTAGACAGCGAGAAGGTCTTGACTATTTTGACACATACTCGCCGGTAACAAGAATTGCATCCATTCGAATGCTAATAGCGTTAGCCGCCTTGTATGGTCTTCAAATCCATCAAATGGATGAAAAAACAGCTTTCTTAAATGGTGATCTAGAGGAAGAAATTTACATGAACCGACCTGAAGGGTTTGCGGTTCCAGTAAAAGAAAAGAAGTTGTGTCGACTTGTTAAGTCCCTTTATGGACTAAAACAAGCACCCAAGCAATGGCATGCGAAATTTGACCAAACAATGTTGTTAAATGGCTTTAAGATTAATGAATGTGATAAATGTGTTTACATTAAGAACGTTCCAAATCATATAGTCATTGTTTGCTTATATGTTGATGATATGCTAATAATGAGCAAAGACATTGCCGACATTCAAGCTACTAAGCGTATGCTTGCTAGTAAGTTTGAGATGAAAGACTTAGGAGTTGCCGATGTAATTCTAGGAATTAAAATCCAGAGGACTCCTCAGGGTCTGGCTTTGTCTCAATCACATTACATGAAAATGGTACTTGAAAAATTCAACACTTGGAATTTAGAAGTGCAAGAACTCTAATTGACTTAAACCATCATCTTGAAAAGAATAAAGGTGAAGGAACGTCTCAATTGGATCATGCTCGTGTGTTGGGAATATTAATGTATATTATGAACTATACACGTCCTGATATAGCTTGTGCATTAAGTAAACTTAGTCGATTCACAAGTAATCCCAACAAACATCACTAGGTGGCAATGAAACGAGTTCTGGGATATTTGGAATATACTCAAGACTACACTTTGCACTACAATAAATATCCTACGGTTATTGAAGGATATAGTGATGCAAATTGGATAACCGGCTCAATAGAAACAAAGTCCACAAGTGGATATGTTTTTACTGTTGGTGGAGGAGCAGTATCTTGGAAGTCTTCCAAACAGACGTGCATCGCTTGCTCTACAATGGAATCAGAGTTTATAGCTTTGGATAAGGCTGGCAAAGAAGCTGAATGGCTTCGAAATTTCTTAGAAAACATTCCGTTCTGGCCAAAACCTTTGGCTCCTATATGCATACATTGCGATAGTGAGGCTGCAATAGGACGGGCATGGAGCGTTATGTATAACGGAAAGTCTCGTCATATACGATGAAGACATAAAACCGTTAGACAATTACTCTCTAGTGGAATTATCACTATTTATTATGTAAGATCAAAGGATAATGTGGCGGATCCGCTTACAAAAGGCCTAATTAGAGAGGGAGTTGAGAAATCATCTAAGGGAATGGGACTCTGGCCGAGGACAAGTCATCATGGCGGTAACTCTACCTAAGAATTTTGGATATTCCGAGATCTAGGTTCAAGGAGCTCAAACAAAGTTGTGATTGACCGGTTCAACATTGTCAAAGTAAAATCTTTGGTCCCTTCTCAGGATGAAGACAATGTTCAATAACAAGGATAGAACTTTACACGTTCTTTAATGATTACCTAAGTTTGATGTGGTATTTATCAAATAGTGTCAATCTAAAGGATTACATGTTTAGGAATCACCTATGTAAGTGTGAAGTGGAAGCCGCTTCAATGAGAATTCTGTAAGGCCAATTCTCTATGCACTTATAAAACCAGACGGTGTTCATGGCTGAAACAAACACAACAATGAGAACCAAAAGATGGTTAAGGGTTGGTTGTGCGATATATGGTTGTCTAGGTATACACTAAAGTTCGATGGTTCAAAGATATCAAATCTACCGATTGACCAAGTATATTCAAAGGGAAACCTACTTATCCAGATACAATTAATCCTTACTTGCAAATCGCACAGCTTTCATCTATGTTCATTCTTGTTACAGTCATTCCCATTCATGTGGGGGATTGTTGGACTTTAAGCCATTGGGCTTTAAATACTAGAAGTGTGAATTGGGAAATGGTGGGAAATAAAATGGAGGGAAATGAAAATTTTAGAAAAATTGAAAGTGAGCTTTGTCAAATGAACTTTGTCCCTCATTGATGAGGGACAACTACACTTGTGTGTATAAATATAGGATCACTTCTTAGAGCTCTTAAAAGGAGTTGAAGAGAATAAAGCCTCGCGTCGTCGTCGTCGCTCGGCTCGGCTTCGGCTTCGGATTTGGATTTGGATTCGGATTTGGATTTGTCAAATGATCGATCGATGAGATTAATTTTTTTTGACGAAGTTTATTTAATTAATTATTTAAGAATTAATTAAGTGCTAGTCAGTTCATTAACAGAATTAACTGGAATCCAAAACGCTGAACGTGGGTTTTCCCTTTTATGAACAGACACCTCTTCCTTTCAAATATCTGTTCACATTATGAACATACATCACACCTCTTCCGACAATTGCCTATAAATTCCGAGGCATGTCTTCCTTTTCAGCCACTAAAAAAAA